CCACAAATGCACGATGTCATAGAATAAATGTTAGGAAGATGACTTTTGAAGGGAGAACAATCTTTAAATGTACAGAAATCAATTGAAGTTATATATCTCCAAGAACAAGAGTTGTTAGTGCAGTACAACCAAGAAAGGCATTTTTCCAAGTTTTGATAAGAAAGAAGGTAAAATTATTTCTTTTAAAGATACACAATTAGAAAAAGCAAAATCATCAATAGATAACAGGCTATTTGGTAGTGTTATCGTTTGAAGGAACAAACAACCAGTAAATGCATTATTATGAATAAATCCAACAGTTTGAGGAATTGACACTTTCTCATATTGTGGACAGTTCTCAAAGCAACTTTGACCAATTTCTTGAATTCCCTTAGGAATAAATGCAATATTTGTTATTTTTCCATTACTTAATGTTGAATGAATTCTATCTTCTAAAGTAAAGACTATATCATTACATATAATTCCATTTGTTTGTGTTATTAACTTACTCATTAAATAAGAAACACGAGGATAAAAAATTTTAGAAGAAGTAACATAAATATTTTTTAATTGGGTACAATGTAAAAATGAATTCAACGAAATATGCTTAATATTTCTTGGAAGAGTAATTTCAGTAATATCAGAATTATTAAAACAATTGTCATTGATTGATGTACATTCTGAAGGAATTGAAGCTCCAAATTCTTTTTGTTCTTCTGAAGTGAATTCAATTTTAGTATAATAAAGTTGTTTATTACATGAGTGTTTATGGTATTTATGAAAAGATACTGGATAAAGAATAATATATTCTTTCATTCCAGGTATTTTTTCGAGTTCTGGTTTATTAATTTGTTGTTTTGTAAGATGTGGAAAAAATTTTAAATATTCCACTGGTAAATGAAATGGAGATAAAGTAATCTCATTCATTAATTTTGCTATTTTTTTATTACATAAAATTAACTTTTTGAAATCTTCAAAAGTCTCAAAATAATCAACTACTTTAATTAATTCTTGTGTTGTTAATTGACTCATTTCTCTTATTCTTTTTTTCATAGTTTCATAAATTTTTTATGAAATTATTAAAATTTCTTGTTATTCTTAAATTTTTGTTTCCTATCTTCTCTTTTTTTTTTTTATCATGTTCTTGTTTATTTACTTAGATCAAACAATTAATGTTGTATTTTATTTTAAATGTTATCAATGGTGTCAATATGATATTGATATACGTGATAATATTATTACTATTTAAAG